TTCTGAAATATTGAAAAATATAATTCATACTCTTCAGGAGCAAGAAATATATTCTTCAAAAATATTAATTATAATATTGTGCTACTTCAAGAGCAACAACATGATAAATTATTAATTTAAAATTTATAAAGATTCTTTGATCAAGTTAAAGATATACAGAATATTCAGTAATAGTGGTAAACATTAAAATTGGCACAGTAGTCGCCCCATGTAGGACTAAATAAGGAATAATGATGGACACATAAGATATTATACCATTCCAATTATTATAATATTGATGCAACATTTGAATCTTGAGAAACGAAAAATGTACAGAGAAAGAATTGAAAAAGATGTGCACAAACATGATTTGAAAAGGTACACAATATGAGCGTGTTTGTGAGCAATTTTTGTGGGATTTTAATCAAAATTATAGTCGTTATAGTCAACCTGTGGGCCCCACCTGTGAGAAGGAAAGTTAAAAATGGTGGCTGATTTGATAGTTAACGGCTAGAATTTTGATTAAAATCTTGATTAAAATTTCTCCCAAACATAGCCTATATATTATTCCCACGGCTTAATGTTTAACACGATTGAGACNGTGAATGATTGGCGGCAGAATCTGGGTATACAAGAAAGAAATTGGGACAGGGTCACATAATCATTGCGACGGAAAGAATATCATTCCAATATATGTATACATAAAATTCACGTGTTATCAAATTAATTTTGATATACGTAATAGATTATTATGCTTATGTAAATTATTATATTTTAAGAGAATTGTGCTGATAATATGTTATAAAAAGAGAGAATAAGAGAAGTCAATAGACTTGTGTATTTTATTGAGAATCAAGACCAGTATTTATATGGTCTAAAATAAGAGTTACAATGGAATGAAATAAACTTTCTGAATTAGATAACTTATCTATATATTATGATAATACTAAATAATCATCAATAATTATCTCATTATTTTATAGCATATTGAAATAAATGTACATAATAAAGTAAACCAATAATTTTCCATGGACGGAAAAAAGAAGTAAAAAACAAAAGGAAAAAAATAGCAGGAGAAAAAAACATAGGGAAATCCATCGCTATTGCTGCAAGCTGAAGCAACAAAGCGGCCATTGAGTCCCCAATTGAATTAATATACGCCCATGCACTATTGTGCGGCACGATTAATTGAAACCTCTCTCGTGGAATACCATGTCACCTCTTGTTTTGCGAATCAAATCTTTGGTAGATTTTGATTAAATTTGATAAAAGTGATTGAAAAATTGTAAATTTCATAAAATATATGGTTCTATATATATTGTACGCACGGATTGGAAAGCCCTAAATCATATTCCTGATAATATCCCCTCGTTTTTCTTATTGCCAATAGTATCCCTAGGAGTAAAATCAATACTTCCATCACGCAATCGAGTAAAATATCAACATGACAGTCCTATATGTACATTCAACCATTGAAGTCAAGAAACCTCGAATATCGAGTGAATGGAATTGGACGCACTCGACATTCAAGGTATCGTGACTTAAATGGTTCAAATGATTATTAGTTATTGTCGATCAAGATTTTATGAT